ACAATTTAATTCTCTATCGACTGACCTGATTTTGAAACGTTTTAGCGAAAATCTCTTGGTTAGGAAATTCAAAACACTGACAGCTACTTTTTGCATATCTTTTTTATAAATTTAATAAAGCGGCTCTTATTGTTTTGAATTTCCTAACCAAGAGATTTTCGCTAAAATGTTTCAAAATCAGGTCAGTCGGTAGAGAATTAAATTGTCTACAAAATGGTTTATTTACTTTTGAGTTCGGACTTTTTCAAAAATTTCTGCAAATAAAACAAAATCATAGAAAAACGTCACGGAATTACGTACGCAGGTAGAGTTAGCTGGCCAGGTCGTTTTGGAAAACCTACAACACAGGACCGGAAACTTTTCGCTAGTTTTCGCTAACTGTGTGAATGCGTCCTATATAGCTCAACATTTCCTGAAAGTTCCTATCTAAATTAAAGTTCCGCTTTACTTCGTGCATGTACTTGAATGAATGCACCTCTTTGGAAACTCACTAATAACAAGTACAATAACTCTTTCCGTCTTGAAACTAGAAATAAGAACTAGAAATTAGAAATTTTTTTTAGCAATCGATAGAGGACTTGACAAAGATTTGTTTGTTTAACCGCGTACCTTACTTTTGCGTTTAACTCAGTTTTCCGACAGTGCCTCTTTTTTTAGCGTAATTTTTGTCTATATGATTTTTTTCTTTGATCCATAAACAAACTTAGGGTGTTAAACAAAATACAACACTCAGTTTCTAAACGAAAAACGAAGTCAACAGTTAACAGAGTACCGCATATAAAGTTCAACAATCTTAATAGAGAAGCAGCAAATACGCAGTTAGAAAGAAAAATCTACATTGTTATTCTAGGAGTCCAGTTTTACTGGTACGAAATACGAGTAACCGGAGAAAGAAAACAACTCCTAACAACAGTAGCAAGTAATTTATGTCATTCCTTGGGAGTTCTTACTTTAAAAGAACAAGGAAAACAAGATTTACGAGTAGAAATACTATTCAAAACAAAATTATTGTTTTGAGTGTCTCTTCATTCACGTAGTGATCAAATAAAATCGTGAGGATGCGGAATGATAATTTAAAGTTTTCCGTAAATGCTTCAAGCGAGAGATTTTTCTACGGTGACAGAACAGCTGAAGTTGTAGCTTTCTTACACAAAGTAAATGACCCATCAGTTAGATCAAATTAATGATACAGAGAATTCTCGACTGTTAGAATAGGTTTTGTGTAAATACTATGTCGAATAAAGAGCTGATTATCCTAGAAGAATGCTCTGTATCCCGAACAGGATTTATATAAATCATCCATGTTCCAATAATATATTCACTGTCACTCTGAAGAAGGGATGCTGGTGCCACACGAATTTATTAACCTCTAAAAGTAGAAAGATAGTCTCATTCTTATTAACCACAAATGGTAGTTAATTGAAGAAAAAACTTTTCCATGGACAATAAATGATAGAAACTCATTGTAAATTTAAAGGGTAGCATTCTTACTCTTGAGAAAACTGATAAATTAGTAGGTCCTATTTTTGATCAATGTTTGAGAGGCTACAATGGACCAGTTACCTTTTATTTTGACAGGTATCGACCTTGGGAAACATAAGTGTGTCATCTCCCAGGTGCCCACAAGGAGCTATTACCATCTCCAGACGTGTCACTAAGGAGCTATCGCCATTTTCAGAAGGTGACAATAACCGTCAGTGTCACCTTCTAATGTTGGCAATAGCTATTCTGAAAAAATAATTACTTCAAAAAAGCTTTTAAAAAAAGAAACAAAGAAATATTGTTCAAAACAGAATGTTCTAGAAACATGAAGAATGCTAAAAAATTCAAAAACTTGAAACTCTTTAATGTCAAAAGTTAATTGTCTCGTTCAACATCCATAGAAAAATTTCTTTTTACCAATCGAGAGCTTATGAAGTCTCTAAGGTATTGGAACAAAATTCGGTTCCGATATGACACTTCATTATTTTTGTATATCGATTTTATCGATGTCCACGGGTGTGAACATCCGGAGGTAAAGGGTTAACATGAGACGAACTATATATTACAGATACGAAGAACTAATCAGCAATAGGTTTTTCATAAGACGATCTGTCTTAGAATTTCCTGTAGATGTTATTTGCTCGTTTTGCGAGGAGTATCACATTTCGACCTTTAGATCGTACGCTGACAGGCATTTTTGACCCGTCATAGAATAAATCTGATGGAAACATATATATTAAAAATTCTTTCAAGGCAAACAAAACTCGGAATCCACTACATCTTCGGTGATATTTCTCAAAGATTTCAGATCGTTTGGAATTTCGAGAGAAACATTTAGAAATCTTCCAGACGAAATGATATCATAGATCCTCAGGAAAAAGACTGACGTTATCATGAAGAAACACCAAGTTCTGCAGGAAGAAAGATGAAGCTCTTGAGGAGAAAGATCGATTTTCTCAGGCAAAAATATGAAGTTCTTGTCGAGAAACATGGAGTTTCTCGTGAAAAAAGATGAAGTTCTTGTGCAGATAGATGGATTTGAATTGTTTGTGTATCTGTCAAGGTTGCGGAGCTAGAAAAGTTCTCCGATGACTATATTATCTCGGAACTTTGAGAATCAACAGGGAATCGAATAAACATGGCGACAGCGAAGAGATTTGGATTCTATGTCAAGTCCTTAAAAATGTCATCACAGTCTCCACAATCAACGCAATTTTACCTCATATGAAAACTACCCGCATTTTTTATCTGCAAGGATGCTAACCGGGGAACTGTGATATTCGGATCAAACATGTCGATAAACCTTTTTCACCTAAGTTTGAGCTTAAAATCAGACAAAAAGTTCCCCTCGAAATTTTTGTCTGAAATCCCCATCAGGTGTTTTTGGCGAAAATTTTGGACGAAAACGTTTTTTGCGAAATGGATCAAATTATATATCATTTGATGCAGTTTTCTTGTCGATTCCGAATATCACATGTTCATAAACATGTTCGTTTTTTCTAACGTGTGATAAGAACATTTAGTCGATTTTTATGTTTTGTGACTTCAGTGAGAAGAGGTGTCCTCAAGCACATATAATCTCTCAGTACTTATTATATGTATATCTATATAATTTATGAAATGTATGATTTATTAGAGTACAATGATAGTAGAACTGCATTAAATTGAAAGAAGGACAATACCACAGTCCGTTGAAAACTCTGATTATTATCGTAATTCGCATCCTCAGCTGCCAGTACCGTTTACCACAACAATTTTCGATCAAGTGGGATTTCTAAGAAGCAAGAGTTGAGACCATCAGATTGGATTTAGTTTTCAAGGACAGAGAAGTCGGTTTCACTTTGAATTTTTATAATTAATGTGTACGTAATCGTCGATTTATTCGCTTGATGGTAGTATTAAACTCATCTCTATATGTTTTTGATGGTAATACAAATACGATAAATGTCACCATTGATGGTAAAAATGGAATAAAATAAGCAAAAAGATATAACCATGAATTATGTGGTGATTTCATGCATCCACCAATAAATGACATACTTAGACGTGGTAATACTAACAATGCCAATGTACATGACGCAATCAGATGATGTTTGTGTTGTTTGAATTGTAAATGTAAATGTTCTTTAAATGTTAATCTTGGGTGTAGAGTTAAATGAGAACGAGATATTAAGATGATAATGCAAAGAATAGAAATTAAATTAATGATAAATGGAATAAGAAAATGAAAGAGAGTGATAAATGAGTTAAAAATATTGATTGAAGACGAATATTGAATTAAACACCAAGTTCGTTGTTCATCTGTGTCAATATCATCAATCAAATGACGATGTATAGGAACATGAAGATGAGTTATAAGTGTTAAAAGAATGATATTTAAAGTTATCCATTTAGCTATTTGTTTACTTTTAGATTTGTTAAAATTAACATTTTTGATAACAGTAAATACCCGTTCAGCAGAAACACATCCATCAAGCCAATCATTTGAAGTCAAAAGAACTTGAAGAATCATATCTAATAATAAACAATTAAAAATGAGCAATGATCGATTAGTAAGAACAGCCATTTGAGATAAAACTAATTGCCAAAATTTGATAATCATTACGATTACAATAAATATAGAAATCCATGAGGAAACTAATAAATAAAAACCACAACCCACATCTCTTGTTTTCTTCATGCGAAATGTCGCTATAGATAAAATTCCATTTAGCGATCCAAAAATAAACATAACTGTTGTGAGTGCTACACTCATTTTAACAATTAATGGTTGTCGAAAAAATGAGACATTTGGTTTAATATGATAACCAAGAATATAATCAAGTGATAAAACAAAACCTCTTGTTGAAAATTGACATTTTGTTCCATAATAACAATCTGGACAAACACATACTGATACACTTGGACATGTGATATTGTCTTGAAAACATTGACCATCATTTTTACAACCACTGTAACTTTGACAATCATAAGTGATTGAATGATCGAATGTGAAACAATTCGAGAATCGATCCAAATCACATATACACATATAGTTTTCATCATAAAAACACATCAATTGCTGATGTTGTCGACACAAGAGAGGGTAATATTTAATACGATTCAAACGAGAATAAAATTGAAAAGTAGTATTTAATAGTTTATGTATATAGACACATCTTTGCTTCGATGTTAATTTAGTTTGAATATGTTCTGATTCAATAAATTTTTCTCTTAATACAATCAAATAATAATTTTGATTAAATAATTCAACAATGAGAATATGAAATGGTTGTGTGACCAAGAGTGTAATTATATTTTCGTCATATTTGATCTTTTTCAATATTGTTGTACGTTGATGTTTAGAATTTTCAAATGCAGTGATATAATGTATAAATACAGCTGACGCTCTTCCAAATATTTCTTCATTAAATTCAATATCAATTCGATTTTTAGTATTTTCACATTTTATTCCATAAAAACTTTCTTTACACAAACATGTAAATTTGTTAAGATCAATACGATCATCGACAGGCACACAAAGTCCATTATTTTCACATGGATTCGTTGATGATTGACAAATTGAATGTTTTAAATAGCATTTTGGTCCATATTTGTTAATTGGACAAATACAAATAGATGAAGTATGACAAAATGAATCCGATGAACAAGAACAATTTTGTTCGATATCACATAGTAAACCTGAATAACCTTGATCACATTGACAAAAATATAAGAAATTTTTATTTATATATCGTATGCATCTACCATGATTTCCACATGGTAATGAACAAGATTCTGATTGTTGAATATTTGGAATGAATAATTGAGCAGCTATTCGATTCACTGGTAGAAATTGAAAAGGAATCGATAGATGCCAACTCGCCCAATATTTTAATGTAATTTTATCAAAAATATCGATATGTATTGAATAATTAGTCGAAACATGTTTCGGTTGATGAGGATAAAGTAAATAGATATTAAACTTTGTTGCACAATCACGTTTAGGTACATACATAATTTGTTCATGATAAGATGTGATTTGTCTCTGTTCATCAATAAGCATGATAATGACTTGATATACAGGCATGACAAATGTAGTAGTACGATATATTAATTGAAATGTTAAACTAATACGTTGATTTTGCCATTGGCAGTAAGCACCAAAATAACTCGGAGGACAAAGACATTTAATAGTTTGATTGTTTTCGAACAGTATTAGAATTCCTCGATTACAATACCAACTTTTGTCGTACCTATGTACAAATATATTTTTGTTCGTATCAAATTGAACAGTTTGTTCAACAGAGACAATAGTAGAAGTTGGTGGAAAAGAACTTAATCGAGATGTTCTTAGAAATCGTTTTGGTTCTCTTAGAAACAGTGGTCCTGATGACAATGCACAGGCACGGTTGTCCGAACTTTCTGTAATGAAAGCTGATATTTCATAGGCCGGCGATATTTTAGGTTGCATTAAACAGACATCTTCATGTGCCAGTGGTAATGACGATTGACCCAAACAAATTTGTTCTGATGTAATACATTTTGTTTGATTCCATAAGAAATAATTCATAGAATCGTTAAATATTACGTTATTAC